GGTTTTTTTTTAAACCCCCCCCCCCCCCCCTTTTGTGTGTGTGTACAGTATGTGTTTCATTTTGTGTTCTGTCTGTTTGATTTTATTGTTATATTTGGAAAAAAAAAAGTTATTTTAAATTGCAATAATATCTCACAATATTAGTGTATTTTTGACCAAATAAATGCAGCCTTGGGGAGCATAAGAGACTGATGAAACATAAAAAAAAAATAAAAAAGTCCCTTTCAAGGAAAAACCGTTCACTCAGCCGCCATATTTGCATAGCCTCCGGGCAGCTCAAATAAGACCAAATCCTATCTAAATTAATGGGGGAATCCTGAAATCTCAAAAACTGCTCGCTGAACTCATGATTAAATAACATATTTGAAATCAGCAACAAAATCTTAAATGAACTGCCCCATGAATATTGTTTCTTATGCTCAAATAGCGTTTAAAAAGCTTATTTTCCAGGCTAGACCAGCCAACGCGATTATGACTGCGCATGCGCATCGGCTGGTCCAGCTTTAGGTTTTTATGGGAACCGGAGCTTCTAACGGCTGCTGAATGTCTCCCATTCATAAGTATAGGAGTGAACAGTCTTTGTATTTCTACATTCTTTGAAAAAAATCCTACCTACACTGTAAAAAATGACAGTGAATTTAACGGTAAATGACTGTAAAAATGCTACAGTAAAAACCTGTTAAATGGTTAACAGTAAATTCCCCTACTATATATGGTGAAAAACTGTATTGGACATTACATGTAATTTTACGGTAGTATACCATTTTTGGAAGTGAAAAAGACTGTATAATTTACAGTGAATAACCGTAAATTGACATTCCCAGAATTCCCTGCGTTACATTTCAAATTTGATGTTTTTTTTGTTGAAATAACTATGTTTCTTCTGAGTTTTTTCTTATCAGTTTTGTATATTAGGATTGTATGTTACACCTAATGTTGTTAAATGAATGTTTATTGCATTATTTCAGTTTCATGTGTGTTACCATGATGGTGTTTAGGTGAATGACACTGTGCACCTTCTATATATGTTATTATTTAAAAGCTGCTTGTGATGGGCTTTGGTTCATCATGTGACTTTCTCATCACCACCTGCAATTGGTGGTTATCAGTGTATTACAAATGTACAAAACAGATTTCAGTACTTCAGTAGGTTAGTATATTAACATTATATCAGTTAATGAAATTACGGTATTTAACTGTAAATTTAAGTTAAACCCGTAAAACTACCGTATTTTTTACTGTAAAATTACGGCAACCACAGCTGCCGGTTTTTTACCATAAATTTTACGGAATTTTTAATGGCTTTTAATGGTGTAACAAAATATTTTTATCTGTAGTGTATACTAGAGGTCTGTTATATAATCAACATTTTAATCAAATTTACAATCTGAATTGATGATCTTCTCAAATTACATTTTCTGTTTCATCATTATTACTTAATTTTTTTAACCTTAAAAAGGGCAAACCCATAAAGAGACATCAGAAAATTAATTTAATGTTATTTTCCATTTTATTGGGACTCAAATAATACAATTGCATGATTTTTTTCAAAACTTGACTCTTATATTTGATTTTAATGTTTGTATCCCCCAGGATACGTTGCTCCTTTGGGGGTATAAATTCACTGGAAACAGAACACTTGTTTATCAATGCTTGTTACAGCATGGTTGTAATTCCTGAATGTTTTGGAGTACAGACCTAACGTTGGTCTCTTTTTAAAGAAGACACATAGCAGATTATTGCTGAAGTGAAAGCATTAAAAAAAAAAAGAAATTATAAAAAAAAGTTAAGTTTACAGTAAAGATAATGTAGTATACTAATTGTTTTTATTTTATATAAAATAAATATTTTATAAAATATGTTGCACTCTAAAAAAGAGTGCATATAAAATCAAAGCTATATCTAACCAAGTTATGTTCCAAATTTGAAGTTGATATCACAAAAATTGTGGTTCCTGTGAGATTTTCTTTGGGCACTATACCAAAAATAACCACTGGGTTACACCCAAACTCTA